CTCTTCAAAAATAGTGCGGAGTTTAGAATCTGAATCTGACATGTTAGGATCTCGCTCCGTCAGTTGGCATGAACATTGCCTGATTTTTGTTCCGAGTGAAACCCTAGCATGCAAAATGAAACTATCCTGGCGACCTCATCATTTTTCAAAGGTGAGCACGGCTTCTTTGAAGTAGGCGAGGCTCCTACGGTGGGTGGAGCTTTACGAAGCAGTCCACAAAGTCAAAATTTTTGAAAAAAAATATCAAAATTTTGCAGGAAGCCGTAAACGTAGCAAAAGGGCGGGACCTGACGTGCCATTGCATAAATGCATATTTATGAGTACCTTCGTTGTATAAAGTCAAAACAGCGACACTGGAAAAATTATGAAAGTTCGAAGTTTGCACCAACCCCTTCAAAATGTGTGCGGAGTTGCCCATTTGCCGATGTACATTCTTTCGGCTAGTGTGCACATGTGCGAAATAACTAAGGTCCAAAAAAGTCACAGAAGCAAAAGGCATAAAATAAAATTTGAAAAATCACAATCACGCTGGAGCGTGGGCGTGGCTATAAGGGCGAGGCTCGCAGTAGGGCTGATGAGGCATTGGTAAGTCCTGAATCTGCTTTGAAAAGCCATGGATTTGGTTTGAAAAGTAGGGAAGTTGGTGAAAAGCCGTGACTTTGTTCGAAAGGTCGTGAGTGTGGGTTGAAAAGTCTGTTTTTTCCTTCTTTTTTCTTAAAGTTTGTTTGAAAATCGTGAATAAAAAGTGAAAATGGTCTGTCCGTAATTATTGACGTGACAATTTCAGACAACCGCCAACAACGTGTACGCGATTGGAGACGTTGTCAGCGCCCCTCTGCCTCTATGGAACATTGATTCTATCAATATTCAGCACTTGCAAACGGCGCAGACTCATGGTTAGTTCTATGCCTGACAAGAATCTAACCCCTGTTACCGCCACGGCACCGTCACCCAAAGTGGCGTGCAGTAGGCAGTAATTCCGTTGCGAATGTACGTACAGCACCGAAGCTGACGACAGTACCGATATATGTATGTGGTGTTGGTAGTGATGTGAAGAACAACCCTAGGACGCGCTTCCAACATCTATCGTGCAGCTATACAAAAATAGGCAATAAATAGATAAATATGAAGTTTTTCATATTTTTTGAGACAATACTGCGCTCGTAGTTTCGAAGCCCGTTGAAGGATTGTTGTGAAGAAGAAACAAAAGAAGGCTCTCCCGCAAAATCTCAACTTCAGGAAAATACCCTGGTCACTAAAACAGCATCCGTTTTTGGTGCCAATAACTTCAAAATTCAATTGGAACGCCAATTTGCCATCATCACTCCAAAATAATTCACAATGACCTTGTACTTGATATTTTTCAGGGTCCAGATTACGAACACTTAGTACTGGCCTCAATCTATGATTTCATGTCCTTAATCGGATATCCCTATAAGACGAAGTTCCGCCACAGTATATTACGACATCTTAGGGGTGTTGCCGTGGATCTGTGCTCAAGAAAAGATCCCTTACAGTTGCTGTGAGAGTGTTGCCCGCAAGAGTCTGAGCGCCTTGGATCCCACCAGAAATGCTCATTCTATGTAGTAAGTAAAGTTCACTAGGTGCCACCATTTTTGTAAAAAAAGTTCCAATCTCATAAATGCCTTACTCATGAAGAAAGCAGCCAGATGTGCGAGATTCACTGCAGAAATTCCAGAAATTCTTCTGTCGCGTGCCAAGAGTGCAACGGGTTTTTTAGACTAAAATTACATTTGGAATGTCACTGTTTTCCGTTTTCGTTACGCTATTGGAATGACTCACTCATCAGCCCCCATCAACTGTTATTACCTTCTGCCACCTGCCGTCGACGTCCCCCACCTCCCTCTCCATACCGACCTGCTGAACCAACGCCTGGGCTGATGGCTTGTGTGCCAAGCGTCATGAATATTGGTGGTCTTCCAATTGCAGCTGCTCCTCTATGCCAGATCCTATCAGCTGATAGACTCCTGTCATCGATCATATGTTCCCTGCCCGCAGTTCCATCTATCATGCGCTTGGAACTACGCCGGTCCCGCTAATTGTTGTGAGCCCGCGGCTAAATGGGATGCGGCGAACCTATCCTTTCATGACGCCTGTTGTCAGAACTTGTCAGCTGAATATGACTCGTTGCTAACACCCGATAATGTTCTTATATCATATCTTGTGAACCAAGACTGAAAAACTTTGGGCTACTGGACGAAGCCCTGACGATTTCGTGACACAGCGCACCGAGACCAACAGCACACGACACCACACAGCACACACACACAGGCAACAGCACACACACACACACACACCAAACACACAACACACACAGCACACACACACACTTATAAACGCTAGCAACATTGCGTTGTCGTTCTGGGAAAAGTGAACCGGTGAATATTCAGATCAAAACCACCTAGAAACCACTCCCTTTGTGTAGTTATAGGACCAGCAAAGTCAGTTGACCTAATAAGCTGGCGTTCGAAGTTTTGAATTTGTTGTGAGCATAAAGCGCTGATGGCACTGTCCTTCTCTGTTAACTCCCTTCGTCAACTTTCAGTGTTCTTACCACATTTGTGATATGCTTCGTTGATTACTGGGTTTTGTTTTGCGTTTTTTTTGTTTCGTTTAGGACCATTATTTCATAGAAATAGACTGCTGATAAAGAGTTAGCCGAAGGCACGCACCACACTTGTTCGATTTTGAGGTGCCTTGCTCGGACAAGGTAGTCCTGTCCGCAAGCAACGAGGATGTACTGCTTTCGCAGCTCAAAAATAGACACGGCCCGCCCTTTGGCCACGGCACCCCCAAAACTCATTTCGGAAGGCTTTCCGCCAGTGCGGTTGTCCCGCTACTAGCTCTCCCTCCATTTCAAATGGTGCCAGTGAGGTGATAAGGGGAATAAGCAGATCTCAACAGATAAGAAGTCATACGACCAGTTTTCTTGACATTTTAGAAGGACATGTTTCAACCTTTTTTCCCTTCTTGTGTTGAATACCGTCTTATCTTTGGTATTCGAGCCGCACTACTTTACTCCACGACTTTACGACTTGTACTAGGGCGTTGTGAAAAGCGAATGATATCGCATGTTTCAGGACAAATGCTGGGGTATTCAATCTTAGGCTATGAATATCCACATGAGTTGATACCCTTCTATTGGGTAACATTCTTCTTCAAATTCGGGATCCAGTTTGCAGGTGGGTTTTATGATTGAAAACGAGTGTTTCAAAGGCATGGATCCAATTTGACGTCTACGAGGAAGTGTATGGAATAGAATCAAGCGTTGGTTGCGGGATCCTCAGCAAGGAGGTCATATTTTACTTGTAGGAAAGTAATAAGATCGTGTGACCTCATATGTATTCCCGGACCATGAGTGAAGTCTCGGAATACTCTGCGTCATTTCCTTGTTAAGGTCAAGAAGCAATGTATACCGAATAACACAAATAGCTGTGAGCAAGGCACTTTTGAGCGCAGACGAAACACGGAACGCAAAACACTCTACAGCAAATTTTGGTGAAATGGTCGTTGGATTTGTTGGGTAAAATAAATCCATTACAATCGATCAAAATATAAAGCGTCAGTAAGCATCAGATCAGAAGTGAATTAAAGACAGCTCCCGCGACAAAAGTGTCAAGGATAATCACTGATCGAAACAGTAGCTGATAAGTAATTCCTCAATGAAGGAAAAAAAGCAACAAGAGCCCTCAAGAACACCACAAACAAAATTGCTCCCTTACAGTTACACCGCCCTGCGGTTGGGCAACCCCTGGCTCACAAATCGCTTTATGGCATTTCCCAGTAGTGGACAACATCCATTTCAAAGAAAACAATATGAAAAACAACAAAGACACGAACGAAAAACACTTGAAAAAAGGAAAAATTCAAAAATCCGAATTTGGATTTACCTGCAGTGTCGAGCTTTTGCACCACAGAAATTGCATCATTCGTGATTTTTACGCGTTTTACCTTACGAGATGGGTTGCAGTTGACTGTATGTGCTCCCAATGAATAAAATGTGATGAAGGAGAGCAGAATTATTTATGGGCACGAGCGCGGTCAGCAAAAAGTACATGCAGTTCCGATTAATGCCCGCCGTCCCAACAAAGAACAACTGAGCGGCTCTCCGTCAGAGGGCAGCTAGCAAGTGGGCGGTCCAACTGAGCGGGCGTTAGAACTAGAACTTTGAGCGGTTGTAGCTCGCTCCTCGCTCACTGTGGAGTCGCTAGAGTGGGATAGCATCTAGTTCAGGTGCTGAACTACCTGCACAAGGAAGGAAGTCCATGTACTACTTGAGCGCAGGGACTGTCTTTAAATGGAGGTACCGAT